ATGTACAACTGATCTATATGTGTATTATACACTGTAAAATAGTTATGTACAACTGATCTATATGTGTATTATACACTGTAAAATAGTTATGTACAACTGATACTATCTATATGTGTGTGTATTATACACCTTCATATAAACAAAAGCGATTGCATTTTGTTAGTTCTGATTAACAGCTTTACTTATTAATTAATGTCCTTTTTTTTAATATCTTACTTGCAAACTGCCCTATTTTTTTCATTTTGATGTTGAATTAGTTTGTTTTTATATATTATGTCTTTTATTTTTAAACTTAATTTTAATACAGCGTGCTCCTGTTTTTCAGCTAGATGACTGTACCCTGCAGATTTATAAATACAACAGCTCCGAGGGAGATTATGGAAACTACTTGGATTTAGAATCGACCATAGACGAACAGACCGAAGAATTTGAGGGATTTTCAGACAAGTGAGTATTCATCCGCTTGAAAAAAAATGTACCTTCACTTCTTGAAATATTGTAACGTTCAACTTACATGTAATAAATCATACGCGTAACATATGTCAAGTGTTTACATCTAAGTTCACTCGTTATTTTGTGTCACAGTTTGACACGTTTCGTGGTTACATTATTCCAGTTTGTCAGCGTTAACGTCTTTTATTCGATCTTGTGCTTAACGAGCACTTCTTGAAAGTTAAGATAAACAATAGTTAGATAAAGCTCACATTGCTATATAACGTAAAGAACTGGGGTTTAGTATTCAAGTTAATTCTGTGTATTGCTTAAAAGGGATATCAAAATGTAAGAAAAATATCGTACGACATTTGACGTACAACATGTCTAGCTGAAAATGTTGAAAATATAAGAATAATAAGGCTATACGATACGGTATAATTATGCGGATATTGTTATCAACATTTTGACGCCATATCTATAGAACCCCTACAACAGATATTAGGTAAATGTAACACCTTCTGTTTTAGTGTATATTTCTTTCAAAAAAAAAACAAAACGTTAACACGCCGTAAGGTTATGGCAATTAGCCGCCTCATATCTGCTCATAGAACAATTCCGAGTTTTTCAAGTACAAATTTTTAGCTCATAGCTCAATTATCTCTTGACCGATTTGAGATCTAATTACAGTTTTGGACTCAAGAGGTCAAACCCTTTTGATTGACTTATTTGACCACGCTCAAGGTCTTATACATCAACTTACTCTAATCCTGCCTAAAAGAATTTCAATTTGAGGGTAGGCTGGTAGTGATCCTGATGAGTAATAAAATTGAATCGGATATAAGCTCACCCCACGCTTAGTGTTGCTGGCGCACAAAAATATAGCTAATAAAAAGGGAAGAAAGGTCTCGTAGATTAATTTACTCTAATCTTCCCTAAAATAATTTCAAGTGCCACTGCTATTGGGGGATTCCCTCTTGTTTGGGTAGTAGTATCTTCGTTCTTTTAGTGTTTTGTTTAGGTTACAGTTTCCTCTCTCTCTCGCGCGCGCGTTTTTCATTTCTATTTGAACGGTTTTAACTTCTAAACAGTCCTTATTTTAGACGTAGATATTAATAAATAACTTTCGAAAATTTTAAAATATTTATGCCTGTCATTTATGTGTCTTGTGGAGTGTTCAGATCATATTTACATGTCATTTGTTGAGCCGTATGAAATATTTGAAATATCTTTATAATATTTTTTTTCTGCGTTTTATAGAAAACGTAAAATGTACTTACATGTCATATTTGTGTCTTATGTAAATTAAGCGGCATATTTACATTATGACATGTCACGTCGTGGAAAGTTTAAACACTTATAAATGCCAATTGTGTGTGTGTGTGTTATAAAAGTCATTTTATTGTTGTATTAATTTTAGTCTTAACATATTTATCAACACAACAACTGACACTCATTTCGGTTTACATATAATCGTGCATGAAAATTAAATATTTTAAAATAATAACTACGTCCTTGAGGCTAGCGTTGTGGAACTAGATCGTATTAGATTTTTTTTTTTTTATATTTACTTTGACTGCAAAAAGCATCACAGTTTTAGGAGCTAGGACTAATCTTATAAGCCATAATATTAAACGTATTGTTCATGAAATTATTTGAGCCTAGAGTTTGTTTGCAGAAGCAAAACTCACTTCCAAACTATCAAATGTCACAAATCACAAGAGAAATTACTGTTGTTCTTTAGACAGATACTTGATCTTTCTTGAATGGCGACTTATATATTGAATGCCTTGATTTCAGATAAAACAGTGATCTATAACGTTAAATCCAAGATCTTGCAAGTTTTTATTTTCTTATTTTACTTATTATAAGCCCTCTTTTCTTAACGCGAGTTAGTGAAAATACTATGAGACCCAGAACCAATTAAATAAGAGAGCAGTAGATTGGTTATGTCACTGATGGTTTAGCGGTATTACGACAAGAACTTTTACAGGTGACGCTCGTTTTATTTATACTTTATTAATGAACGTTACTGAATATGATGTGTTGTAAGAAAGGCATTGCTAGACTTGAATGTTCAAAAATATGCCTTGTGTATTGTTTTCTATTTGTCCTGATGTGATTCGATACTCTCACAACTTTCTTAAGCCTATGATTGTTTATAAGGCTTAGAAAAAAATATTTGATTATTATTACATGCTGAAAAAATAGGGTAGGTGGCTTTTTTTTTCGTCCTCGAAAATAGGTAGGTGGAGCTTTTCTCTACTAGCAGTTTCAACTTTCGCGGGGAACTTTGGTTTAGGCCTACAATGAAATTCAGTTGATTTGACACCAAACATATCTGCTAATTGGTCTATTCCAATGTCTGCTGAAACTTTGCCTAGACCAAGATGCGTTGATGTCTGCTAATAATCATTCAAATCCAGTTTAGGGTGGTATAAATAAAATATTAAAAAAAATTATAGTCCGTTAAGAATGATTTCTTTTGTACAGAAGTGGTAAGTCGGGGTGTATAGATTAGAAGTTATTGTTTGTTGAATTCCGCTTAAAGCTATTTGCGTTAGACGTTCCCAATTTTGAAGTGATAGACTAGAGAGGAGGCAGCTATTTGTTAAAACCCACCGTCAACACTTGGGTAAGTCTTTACCAACGAACCTATTTGTTCCACACTATATATATATTCCTGTATCTATGTAAACTATTTGTATCTGAAGGTGACGAAAACCTGTCGAAACCTTTTTTTATTACCCATTCAAGCCGTCAACAGATTTTATGACCGTCACATCATAACACCCCCATGGCTAAAAAGGAGAGCATCTTCGGCGAGGGTTTTCGATCCCACGACCAAATTTTTTTAGATTAATTTGCGTGTATACAAACACGTCAAGAATATAAACACCTTGTTGATTTTAAAAAAGTCAAACGATTGAAATACACAATCCACATTTTACTTTTTCATGTATAATTAAATGATACCCCAATTTTTTCTACGTCTCATATTAATATAGAAAAACTATATAGTGTTTTCAATTTTTTATCATCTTAATATCACGCCGACGTCGATTATGTTAGTTATACATACAAATCTTCCAATGGACGAAGCAGTGGTGTATATTTAATAAATATGCCAACGCCCTAATTAGAATTAAAAACGCTTTGTCATTTTGAATTATTCATACGATTATGCTTCTGTGACGGAGATGAATGTATCGCCCCTCAATGTATATCAGTAGAAGTGATGTAATTAGTAGACGGACAAAAACACGATCATTATTATTATACACCTGATCTGTGGAACGTATTTTTGTTTTGTTTTTACGAAAAGCTCGATGTTATCAGTATGGGAAACAAAAAAAAGTTACACTTCAAGATGACAAAGTTTAATAGTACTTTTACGTACATATCTATCTTTATCCTATTATTGTTTTATAATTCATTTTCGGTGTGTTAGATTTGTATGAATTTATTGCGACCCTGAAGAATATATTGTCATTATATGTATATATATAATTGCATTAAAAAAAGTCTTTATTATCAAAGTTAACTATCGGAATGTTTCTTCTCTATTTTTTCAGAAGTATTACTAAATTCTAATGTAAGTTTTGGTAAAGTTATATCTGCTGAGATATTTATTGCGTTTAGCGCTGCCTCAAGGCTGTGGGGGGTCAAAAACGAAAACCCAAAGTAATATGCGATCTTTCATAATTGTTCTCTCGGCACCGAACGACGACAGCCTTGATTTGATTTTGTGCGTCATCGTTGTAGGTCCACAGTGTTTATTTAAACTTGTGACACGCATGGGCTGCATCCAAACGTCAGAACGATAGGAATTATACAGCCTAGAAAACAACTGTGGAGAACAAAGGCCTAATAGCCCAGAGGATCTGGATGGAAAGTTCTGAAGGCCTTTTTTTATTTATAGACTCATATGATAGTCTCTATTAAAAACTTACCACCCAACTGACCAAAGGAAATGTTACCACGTGGTAATTGTTTGCACCATGTTATGATCATTACGTAAGAAAAAATAAATCCACAATATCATAAAATTAATTTCGATTTGAAATGTTTGACGTCAAACCCTTCTCTTCACCCATCTCGTGATAAGAGATTATTTGAAAAAAAAAAACAATTGATAATTTAAGAGGGTAGAATAATAAGTAATTTGGCAGCAAGCAAAAAAGGCGGGAAAAACAACAACAAAATACCTATGGTTTTAACACAAACCGACGGCCAATGCCTAGAATTAGATGTGGGGGGAAACTTACATAAAAACTTCACAAGTAAGCATATTTAAAGCTTTCTAGCTCGACCCTCTGGCGGAAGAAGTTGAAAACATACCTCATCTAGTGTTACCTGATAATCATGTTAAGCAATATATACCAATTTCATCTTTTACGTTCGCAATGAAGTAGGAATGGTGGCGTATTTATGTTTCTGGAATACCCGTAACGGAACTTAGAACACTCAAACTTTGGATCCTAATAAACGTAAAAGTCGAGCGATGTCTTATATTTAGTTTAATTGCTGACGCTGCGATAAGAGTACAAATAGCAACAGTGAGTTTGTGTTATTAATTATTGTTCCTTGTTATATAAAACTTTTACTCTGTGCTAGTTTTATCGCTATTTTACCAGTGTTTTTGCAAGCACTAAAAATGTACCGTTTTTAGTTTGTTTGCAACAAATCCACACTTTCTTTGTTAATGTGTAGCGGTATTTACCACATAAATTATAATCTATTACCTGTGTTTATAGAATACTAAATATCCTGTAATGGTTATGTGTGTAGATTGAAGCAACTGAACATCCAGATCACTTATGTTCTGTAATGGTTATGTGTGTATGGAGAATGTGGTCAGGAATGGTAAACGGTATATTACTTGAGAGTCGATTTACATGATAATAAGGGTGCTTGTTGAAGGTGGGCTGGTGGGAAGTTCTGACTGTCAATGTTCACCTGCCAAGAACAATAGAACGGAAATAAGATGTATTATAATGTTATACAGAGAACCC